TGTGCTCTTCCGATCTTGAAAAATCGATAGTAACTTTAAAGTTTAAACAGACAAATTGAAAGCTACAGTATTTAATAATTAATTCAGTAATGAACAATTTTCCTAAAGGCACACTAATAGGGACACTTACCCTATACATAAAACGCATCTAGTAATCTAGTAATCTTGTACCTTCGGCAGCGTAATACGTATTACCATCTTCACTAAGAATAATGTAAAACGGTTGCGTCACGGTAATAGTAGCTTCACTTTTTAACTTTCTTCCTGATTGAGAGTTATATATCTTATCCCATCCAATTATCACGCCTGTATAATTCGGAATATGTCTTCTAAAAGAAGTCACAATCATTCCAACCGCAAATTTTATTTTACTCGATCTGCTCTTTGGGAAGATTACATTATCTGTAGATGTTTTCTGAAAAATATAAATCACAGTATTAACTTTAATATATTTTTTTAATTCATAAACTTTTATACATGCAATCGGTGGCTACTTTGCTATTATTTGTTTCTCTTCAGATTATTTCTCTTTCAGCTTCTGTCTGAAACTTTTTTTTAATGCGTTTTCTTCAAGATATTCGAGATGGGATAAAATGAGACACCGTACGCGCGTGCATGCGTGTACATTTATCGGAATCTGTCACGATAAATTACATTGTATATGTGTATCGATAAACACAAACTAGGAATTATATGTAACTTCATCATCAGACGAAAAATTTATCTTAGAAAAATCCATTTAAATTATAACATAATTTATAACATAGCTTAAAAGTAGACTATTGAAATAAAAAATAAATAAATTTTATAAGGGATGAATGACACAATACATTCATGACTTCTGATCGGAATTTCAAGATAACGTTAACTTTCTTTATAAAAAAAAATCAAATATCGTGAAAAAAGCCATTTTTTTAATATTAAATCGCAATTAACTTAAAAATCTAATGTGCTGGAATTTTTTGGCCTGTGGCATCGTTTTCAGCATTCAAAAATCTATGAGAAACATTTACAATTAGTTCGGTTCAAAATAATTGTTTACTGTAAACTAGTGTAATCAATATAATTTATAAAACGAGTAGATCAATGACTACATCTGTTTAACAAACATTTCAGTGTAATGAGTATTAACTACCGCACACTATTTCTTAAATTATGTAATTCATTTATAAAATAGCCTTTAGACTCTTGAGTAATACAATATTATATAACATATAAAGAAGGGTGTTACGAAAAGACGGATTTTTACCTCGCGGAAAGTAAAATTATAATCGTTTCTTATAGTTTTTGAGACAAAGAATCCAATGGTGCTAGTTAAAAGTACGTCACATGTCGGGAACACATCGAAAATTGAGTTCAAAGTTGGAAAAATAGCATCCTTCTTTTGCATATTTTCGATAATAAATTATAACTATAATACGTACCATAGCATTTACGTTATTATACATTTCAAATCTCATTAACATTTGTTCTGCTCGAATTGTTTCCATAGATGTTCTATCGCTATAGCTATCCTGCATATATATGAAAAATAAAATTTAATTAAAAATGTACTTAAATCTATTGTACTGTTGCTTTAGCGCACAAATATATGAAAATTAAAACTTAAATGTAAAACAGGCTAATGAGAGTCACGAGCAGTTCTTGGTACCCAAATTTTATGTATTATAACATCAAGTTACATTAAATGATCCTTGTTCCTGGTAGAATGAGTCACTCTCTCGGCTACCTTTTCCAAAGCGGAATCCTTAATATCTAAGAGAGAAACAATTGGATTGATTGTTTCCTCCCAATCAAAACGAGAATCCTCATGAAACTTTTGAAATAAAATGATGCAAATACACAAGTCGTATGATCGTTAATAATTTAAAACTTATTAAAAGCGGACAGTTTTGAATTGTTGGCGATCATGTGACCACGCTTTTAATAAACTTAAATTGTTAACGACCATACAACTTGTGTGTTTGTATGATTTCATTTCCAAAATTTCATGAAGATTCTCGTTCTGATTGGGAGGAAACAATCAATCCAAGATTGTTTCTCTCTTAGATATTAAGAATTCCGCTTTGGAAAAGGTAGTCGACAGTGACTCATCCTATCAAGAACGAGGATCATTTATCGTTCTCGCACGTTATGACATTATTACGCTGAAGATGACTCTAAATGAGTCGAAACGTTCGTATACTGTATATATTTTTAATGTAACTTGATGTTATAATACGTAAAATTTGGGCATCAAGAACCGCTCGTGACTCTCATTAGTCTTTTACATTTAAGTTTTAAATATCGAAAGTCCTATATTATTAGATGAAAATTAAATATAGCAAGGTCCAAAACTTGATTATACAACAAGTATGTGTATATATCCAGATAGCACAGTTCAAACAGAATTGATTCGTATATTCAGTCGTATGTTATCAATTCTCAGTTCATTTTCAGGTGCAAAAAGAATCCTTTTTCAGAATTTTTAGAAAAAGAATTCTTTTTGTATCTGAAAATAAACTCAGAATTGATGACATATGACTAAGTTTTTTAAAACTCTGTGTGCTATCTAGGTGAGAAATT